CCAATTGATTGTATTGGGTCATGTTGTATATCATACATACGTGTTAAGTTGTTGTCCGTAGTTTACACGGACTTTCCATCATTTTGCAGGCATACAGCCTTATAGAGCAATCTCACAGATTTTTTTAAAGTTTTACAGACTTTTTCAAAACCTCAGTTTCAAAATTATTTAACATGTCATAGCCAGTAGAATGATAAAAAAAACAATAAATAACATTAAAAAAAACCATCTTCCAACCTGTTCTTGCGCTAGAAATAAGACTAGAAACATGTTTTGCACATCTTCCACTCTCCTTTCCTCCTGTTTTGCAGCAGACACTGTCATTTCGGCAGCCAACATCACCCCTGAGTAGTACAGATGTTTTGCAAAAATTATGGATTTTTGAGGCTCATTATACAAATGCCCAAAGGGTTGACATGTATGATAATATCATATCATACATCATATCATATTGTATCATACCAAACCGAATCACATATATCATAACATATTGTATATCATCATCTCATATGTAATATTGTATTGTATCGTACATATCATATCATATTAACGTCTCAATATAATATTGCATCACATTGCATTGCATCGCATTGTATCATATCATGTCATGTCATATCATATCATATCATATCATATCATATCATATCATATCATATCATATCATATCATATCATATCATATCATATCGTTTAGTATTGTATAGTATCATACCATACCATATCATATAATATAACATATTGTATATCATTGTCTCATATGTAATATTGTATTGTGCTTTACATACTATATCATACCAATTTTATATCGTATCATATTGCACCATATCATATTGTACCATATCATATATAATATATCATACATGTGATTGTACTTTTTTCTTCTATTATAGGTGTTTCATATTTTTTTTGACATCTGCAGTTTTATAAAAAATGCTTTAGTTACCCTGTGTTTGTTTTATTGTACAGCACTTTGGTCAGCCTTGTTGCCGTTCTTAAATGTTTTGTAAAATTGTATGGTATATTATGGTATCAACAAATTCAAAAATTTTCCAGGATAAAATAATGTTTTAAATTATGTCATAATCTTGTTGGGCAATGTGTAAAGCAATGAAAGGTTTTTCATTAATGAATCTTTTCTTTTATTGATGGAGAATAAAATCCTAGTTTCTGAGTTGGTCCTTCCACTCTCTGAGCTCCGGCTTACAGTCAGATAAAAATCTTCTAATTTGAAGGTTAATCTTTGAACACATGGCTTTTTGGCCAGCTTCACTGAAGCTGTGATGAGAACTCGAATGCGAGCTAATAATCATGTTCCCTCCTGACAGATGGAGCATCATGTCTGGACTTTCACACTTACAATAGGTGATGATCAGCAAAAGTGGCACTTTGCAAACTCTGGCTTTCCAAGTGTTTGCTGTGTATGAAAGAGCAAACTGCTCTCATCAGAACCACAGAGGAAGTCTTCCCAGATGTGTGCACTTCAGAAACTCTTTTTTTAATGTGCATCCAGTTTCATATTTATGCACTAGAAATAAAAAGAGGTCAAGAAGTTCCAGCACTGCTAAATTGATCTCTTTTTCTAGGCAAAATGTCAAAGGGTTCTGACAAATATATATGTGAGAGATGTTGAACAAAACTTACAACGACATTAACGTTAGTGCAAATTAAATCTCTATATAAAGTGATGCTGGCAACATCATAATAATTTGAATTAATCAGGAATCCTGTGAGTTCTCATCAAATGACTTTGAAAGAAAAACACTAAGGCGTCCTGGCAGCGTGACTCAACATACTGTTAATTACGGGCGCTATGGTGTGCCAAATTGCCTTGTTAGTGAGGTTTCCAGTCACCCTGGTGGCAAGTGACACATGTTCTTGATTAGAAAACCTTCAGATTTATGTAGATAACAGGCAAAACCAAGCAACTGCAGAATAAACTCCAAACACATAATAAAGTCAATGGCAATAAAGCTAAAAACAAAATACAGAGAAGTGATCTACAAACAAAGCAGAGAGCGTTACGGTGACTTTACAGTGTTACAGCTGTGTTTTGTTCGTGCAAGCAGCTGTTTATCTTTTATCTTGTTGTGCTTTGTCTCTATGCAGATCTTTCTGCTTTTGCTTATTGCTTCTTTAAAGAATATTTATTCACTGGCATGTGTGAGTGCGACTGATTATGGCAAGTATGTGATACAATATTTATTCAGTGCAAATTAATACAGAACTGAAAGTCTGTGCCAAGGAGAACATTTGTGATTCAGTTAGCAGAAAAAAAGTTTTAAACTGCAAGCTTTTACTTATTTATTTCATTAGTCTTGATGGTGGACACAGATGTCAAGGGCTTCACAACACAAGTTAGTTTCAATTATATGAATAAAAAAATAATAAATAATGAAATGCTAATTTTTTGATCTTCCAATGTGTATTTTGTGCCTAGACTGTGTAGTTTACATCTGACTGCAGCAGCCAGACTTGACTCTGCCTAAATCTGTTTATCAAAGAAATGCATTGCAAACTGACTGTATGACTCATAAAATTTACTTAGATCTATTCACTGTATGTTTTGAAAAAGATAACTGACTGTTATGGATTAATTATGTATATCTGTTCTACCTTGACGCTGCCCAGTAATCATATCTTATTATAACCAGTTTCGGCTGTTTTACTCTATCGGCCAGACTTCAGGATTCCAGCAATGCATGACCTCTTTAATTTCTGATAAAGAGTTTCCAGGCTGACAGTCCTGTCATTGGTTAGATGGTTACAGTTGGCAATCTGTGATTGGTTATAAGCATGTCACATGATGTTATCATGATGTTATATTATTGGCTACTCTCTGCTGATGAGTCAGTCACAACACGACATACTTCCTGATTGACTTCTGTTTGTTGTCACTCAGAATTAAATCATTAGATGACCGTACACGCAGACTTTCTGTGCATTTATTCCAACGTGTTTCTGCATTCTTGGTAAATCATACCACGACAGTTTTTTGGCGTTGTCTGAAAGGCGGCTCTAAGGACCGGAGATTGCCCGCAGCAGTCGACTTTTTCGGACGACCACTGGACAATGAGAAAGGAAAGGTTTTTTTTCTGATAAAGCTGGCCTGTCCTCCTCTGATGATCGTGTCCGGGTTTGTGATCTGTCCTTACTTCGGCCGCTGTGGGTAACCTTTTGGGACTGGAGCTGAAAAAAGAACCTGTCTGTGACAGAAACACGGTGAGCCAATATTTTCATTAGCACATTATGCTAAAAGCTACGGCTAATTTTCGGCCCACACACATTAAAATTCTAATTGTTAGACGCTTGTCTGGTCGTTTCTGCGGTTGTTTTGATTTTAGTCAAGGTAGATATCGGGGGCGTTTCATTCCATATCGAGTCAAAACAGGGAGCTTAGCTTTCTGTTTTAATGTAGCCAAGAGGACATTTTTCGTCTGTGGTGAGTGTAGGCAGTTTTAGATATGCTTAAACTGCTGAGGGAAAAGTAATTTTCCGTTTTTGTTTCTATTGAGGAGACATTTGTAGGCTAAAAGTCATTTTAAGAGGTGGCCGCCCTGACTTTCATTATAAGGAAGTTGCATACGGTAGTGCTCTTGTGCACGAGTTCAGCCTGTGAATGCGACCAGCGGGCCTTTTGAGCACAGGCCATGGTGAATAAATACGGCGCTGGAAGCCGTGAAAAGTGTCTGTGGGTATGGAGTTTTGACAAATTAGCTTTCCCGGACGGTGGCAGTTTTAGTCTTAAAACAGCTCGGCCGCCCCCGTGATCTCTCAGTGGAACATGATTCAAAGCTAAAATCAAGAAGAATGATAAAGGGTTTGTTTTGAAACATTTTTAATAACATGTTTTAGTCTCTCTGATTTTCAGTGCTATTGAATGGAGCGGATTAGGGGTTTTCCTGTTTCGGCCTCGCAGCGTCACCTCCTGTGGGTGTGGCCTGGTTGGGGCGGGGTGTCCAGGGCCCGGTCATTCCACCCCCCTGCCGTAAACCGTGTGTTGAAATAGGAGGGGGCACGCGTGGATGATGGATTACCCGTTTTTTTCCAGCAACAAGCCCACTAACATAAGCATAAAAACGGTTGTGTTTATAACTAACTCTCAGGCTTAAGAGAACCAACCAAACAAACAAACAAACAAACAAACAAACAAACAAACAAACAAACAAACAAACAAACAAACAAACAAACAAACAAACAAACACCATTGCTGTGTTGAAATTAATACAAAAAATCAAACAACATTAGAATGCTAGAGGCAAATATATTTTATTGAAGGCACAGAGTTTATGATACTCTTAATTAATGAAACTGTTTTTCATGTGGTGAAAGGTCCCCGGGGACTAATGGGGTGAAATGAAATTTGCTGAGCTAGTGTTTTTATTTGCTTGTTTTCTGTTACAAATGATTTTGAGTCAATATAAAAAGTGGAAATTTGTTTGATTCCCTGAAGCAATGGGAGTTTTCTTTTCGTTTTATCTTAAAATATAAGATGCAGAGAAGTAAAAAAAAAAAGTAATGAAACATTCTAACTTGAAATAAAATGAATGGCTTGTTTACATGCCATTAAAAAATAAATACACAAAAGTATTTCAAAGAGACCGAACAAAAAAGTGATTTTTGGTTGTCTATCTGAGGTTGGTTTTTTGAAGATTTTTGTTGAAACAGCATTTAACGGGCATCGTTGAGAAAAAAAAGTGTTTAAAATGCCTGACCTTATCTGCATGCTGTTGAGTGAATAGAGGAAACTGTATGGGTAATTTCTTTTTTTGTGTGTGTGTTTTGTTTTAACGTAACTGGGGAGTTTTGGTTTCCTGGTGACCCTCTGCTCTTTCCAGCGTCCACTCCAACCGCCGAGACCTGGACCGACAAATGGACAGAGATGCTGAGACCAGAAGACTGTGTAAAGGCTATCACTCAGAAGATCACCCACAGCCCAGCACCATGAAGGCGAGATAACGTTGTCATTTTTGCCTGTTTGCCTACCCCCCCGCCCGCCCCACAACAATTGCCACTCTACGGCACCCCATCGGCAGATCAATCAGCCTGACCCTACAACAGGCTGATTTTGCGGATGTTGACAAGCTGTGTGACAAATGGCAGCATCAACAATAAGATCTGAAATACTACGGCATGAGTGACCGTCACAAGGCTGCTGTAGAATGGACGAGGTGTGTGTGGGGTGGGGGGTGGAGCTCTCTGGGAGGCTTCACAGCATCATTGCCTCAAATCTATGCTAATGAGCATACCTGTGGATGGCTAGGCGGTTTTTGGATCCAAGTTGACCAGGGATGAAGGGATGACCAGGACCAGGCCGGGTTCTGGTGGGGAAGAGTGGGCACGGGTGGAGTCAAGCTGGCCAGCCAGCCACCCCCCCCACCCCCCAGAGAAAAGATGAGTAAACTGACACACACGCTCTCATATGTTCTGTAAAAGAAACTTTTTCTTTCTTTCATTTTTTATTGTATGAATAAGTAAAAGACACGTGAAAAAAAAAAGAAACAAGACCATATAGCTGATCTGAAAATATGAACTTTGACAAAGTAAATGTTGAACAAAATATCTGGCATTATTTTAAAGAATGTTTGATAACAAGTGTGAAAGCTTTTCTATAATCCTTTTTGTTTCTGTGTTTTTATTTCTATGTAGGTTTTGGACTCTGCTCTCTGGCCTGCGTCTGCCACTCCCCAACCTGGCCCGTCCACCAACTTTGAAGAGGAGGGGGTCCAGGGAACCTGGTTCGGTGTGGGGTGTGCAGTGCAGCTGGCTGTGCGATGACCACTATGTGCCGGGTTTCAGGGGGGGGTGCGGACGGGCCGAGGGACAGACAGTCCAAAATGTACATAAAAGTATTTGGTTTGAAACAATGAAGGACAAATCAAAGCTTAGCCGCTATTGTAAATGGATGCATCTATTTTGGTTGCAGTTTGAGTCCTACAAAATTAGGCTTCTTGTAAGCAGCGTTATATTTTCTTACAATACCTTCATGTATCAGATCCCCTAAGTTCTGCACAGGATCAAGTTGGTTTAAAAAGAGAATCACCACATATTAAGGAATTGTTCACAGCAGGATTTAGGAATTTCCACTTAAATTTGGACTTAGCTGCTTCTCCGCATCTAAAAATTCCTTATTTAAAAGTTTCTGCCACAAAAGCGGAAAATAAATAGCACTGTCAAACAGGGATGGCGTGATTTTTGATTCAATCGTCTATTGGCGATTGAAGGGTTGGAACGCGATTTTTTTAAAGGGTGACCTTTATTAATTAATTAAATGCTGTGCCAAGGATGTAAAATAAAATTTATGTGCCCTTCTCTGTAAATTAAAATGTTTTAATCATCATCATTGTGATCTGTGCAAATGAGGAAATAAAATAATTAATATATGCATCTCTGTTTTTCTTTTTTTTTCTTTCTCAGAGTCAGCACCAACATGCGCAGCTCCTCCACATCACTCTTCTCGTCATCTTCTTGCTTTGGTGCGCCGCATGTGACCCAAATAGTGCTATATTATTTCATTTAGTTTCAAAACGACTAATCCATGATAGTCATACATTTGAACAAATAACTTTAACCAGTTCTGAACCGGACCGGACCACACTCCATCACCCCTACTTATTTCCCCGTCACTCTGGCTCTGGTGTGTGTGTTTGAAGTGTGCCGGGCGGGAGCGACGACCACGAAATGAGGGAGTGGAAGGGATATAGAAAAAAACCCTATTTATGTACTCCTAGTTTGTCAGCCATCCCTATTGTGTGTCGTCATTCTCATCATCCCTTAAACCGCCATTCAGGTCCTTTTAGTTTAACCCGGCCTCATCCTCCTCTTGGCTTCGACCTCTTTTTGGGGAATTAAATCTCCTACCCCTAACTTAAAGCATCTCGTATGAGATTATGGCTTCACTCAGCACTCTCGTCCTCTGCCGGGGTCCGAGCGCCAAACTCTAATGCCATTTATGTCATAACGATGTTGGTCCGGTCATGTCAATAAATCTCCTAAATTTCATGCTGTCTCGTGTGAGTCTTTCCAGGTTGAAATCATTATTAGTAAGTCAGGAGTAGAATCTTCTTTCTGTAAGCAGTTTGCATGTTTTCACTGTGAAGGTGTGAATTTTCATCCTGTTGCCTTTTACAGTCCAAAACAATCATGATAATGTAATAGGTTATTTTACGTTGAGTGATTGTAAGCTTCCTATGGGTGTGAGATTGACTCAGCCTGTTTGTGGTGTTGCCCTTCTGCTGGGATAGCTTGAATAGTATAAACAAGTACAGGCAACTAATGGATGACTGAACCCAATACAACAGAAGAAAGAACTAAAGGTCATACCTTAATTTGGCTGTGACTGTTGGAAACTAGTTGTTGATACAAAATTGCAAGAAAAAAGGTGAATTTTTAGTTACACTGAATTGTATTTGCAACCAAGCGAGCAGCGTGGCTGAATTGTGCTCAGTTTTAGTTTACACAGCTTGCAAAACTGTATTGTAGGTCATGCACATTATTTTGTTACCCACCCCTAACCTTACAGTACCATTGGCGACTGCCTACATGTTTATGATCTATTCTTTCTAAGTTAACTGGTAAAATGCTGATAGGAAGAATTGCACCTTTTCCCTTTAATAATTATTAGTCGTATCTAGTTTTATTTCTGATATATATTTTTGTTTAAAGCCGTGATTGTATTTTTGAATTGTTTGCAAATGTGTCTTTTACTGATGTATTTTTGTACTGAGACTTTTTTGTGATTTTTCTTGATGTATTCATGCCAACACCTTTCTTAAGCTGTTACCTGGAGTTTAAACTACAATTTTGTTTTGCGTGCTTCCATACTATATATTTATTGCTACTATTTGGAATCATAAAGCAATGTATCACAACAGAGTTATGGACTTTTATTGGCCCGGCAACACCACACACTACCTAGCATAAATGACCAAACAACCATAGACCTGAGGCATAGTAGGATTGTAATGTTTGCTTCCTAACAAAGAATGAAAAAAAAAATAAAACAACAAACAAACAAACAAACAAACAAAAAATAACTAAGATGTCTGTTAGCTGATGTCCCACATGTCTCACACACTGCATGCATCCTGAAGAAAGCAGTGAAAAGTGATTGTAACATATTCAGGTAGATGGATAGATAAATACCTGTCTTTGTAGAACACTTCAAATGCGAGCAGGGTTTAAAAAGATGACTGGGTTTATTCTAATAGGCATGGTGTGAAGTGCAGACAACACTTATTGTCAACTGCAGAAAAACATAGATTAAGCAGCTTCACACTAACAGTTGAGCAGAGAAAATTAACAGAGCTTAAGGAGTATTTACATCTGTACATGCAGCAGCAGCAGTTTAATAGAGGATTTGTTTGTAGACTGATGAATAAAGTCCTTTAAGCATATCTGAGTTATGTCTCAAACAGAATTATTTACTATCATTTTCACCTTAAACAAAATAAGCAATTAAAACAAGTTCAGGACTGCAGCCAAATGTGGATATTCATCAGCAAAAAGAAAATAAATATCATTTATTATCCAATTTTGGGTAAATCAGCTTTTGGCAATCAATTAATTAGTACTTTGCTCATAAACATCAATATACAAAAATGTGACCCTGAACACTTATGTAAAGCATGAAATTGTGATTACTACAAACAAATTATAAGGGAATAAAATATACAAGTTATAAAACTTGTATGAAAACTTATAAAACTTGGCCATTTTTTTTCTGTTAAGCAGTACCAGTAGAAGGAGATTATGCTACAAAGTATGGAAAAAATGCAAGTACATTTTTGAAAAGTTTTTTTTAATCAAGTTCTCTTCATGGTTATCATGTTTCTCTTTCAGTTTGGCAGTAAGACATTTAACTTTGACAGATTCAGGGTAAGCGGACTAAAATCAGTCTTTAAACCAAGACTTTGACTAAAAATAATACATGCAAGCTCTCTCCTCCAAAAATATTTCTGACCTCCAGTTCTATTCTGGCTAATGATGCTTTCACATGGGAGGTGGTGGAGTCTGTGGTTTGCTGCCAAACCCAGAGCAGTGTTCTTTCTGTCCAGGGAGATGGACAACTGTCACCATATTTGATCCGATCATTGAGCTCAGAGTTTGCATGACACTAAAGTGAAGCTGTGCTGACATTGTGACTTACTTGTTATAAAGTGTAACATTTTGTGGAAATGAGCTTCAATTATAGATGAAAATCCAGCAAAGTAGGTTCTTTAAATTCTTTTTAATGGGGGTGTATCTGCCTCAACACTTTGTACAATTATAAATAAAAAATCTATTATTCCCTGAGAATATCACCAGCCACGTTTTAAAAAGATAATCTAAGAAATGACAGTGTTTTTGCATAGTTAAGTTTTGAAAAAAAAAGGAAAAAGAAAAAACTGTTGTGGCTAAAGTATTGTTTCCCTTCATTGACTCACTGTTGGTTTTAGAATAGACTTTAAAGTTTTACAGATAATTTATAAACAGACAGATTCCTGTAGTCTGGCCTCCAGATCTCTCAAATCCAATGATCACTTGTTTTTAGTTGTTGCACAGTCCAGGCTGGCCCACAGAGGTGATCAGATCTTTTGCTCCTACACTATGAACCCAGCTGCCCATTCACATTAGACAAACTTAGACTCATTAGACTCTTGGTGTTTTTTATATCTCATCTTAAAACACATTTGTTTTCCAAAGCCTTTAATTCGTTATGAGAGTTGACTTTTCCACTTCCATGATTTGTTTTTATGGTTTATCATATTTATTTTTATCCTTCTTCTGTTCTTGCATTCCATTTTTCCTTTTAATATTTGTATTATATAAAGCACTTTGGCCCACAATAGTTGTTTTTGAATGTGCTATACAAATAAAATTGAGTTAAATTCAATATTGTGAAAAAAACTTGTAGCTACATTAAACTCATTATCTGTAAAACTGATTTATCTAGGTATTTTTGTGTTAGCAAAGGTTGATTGGCTGTGGCAGCCATCTTACTTTACTCTAAAAGGAACATTTATAATGTACATCCAGTACTGACAAATATGGTAAACTTTGTTCACTGACTCATGATATTTTGACATCAGTCAGGTCTTATTGACTTTAAAGGTTAATGCCAACACTTTAGGCAAATATATTTTGCGTAGTACTTGAAGTATGAGTTGAGGATGAATTTCAGCTACACCAAATTTTAGCTCATTATCTGTAAAGCTGAATGAATTATAGTTATTTTGGTAGTGGTTCATGAAATATTTGGCTAACAGTTATGCAATCACTTATGTTAAAACATGAATCTGTTGGCAGTCAGTGAGCTCAGAATATAAATACATCAAATCACAGCTATACTACCACAACAAATGTTAGACTGATATTAACTGTGTTTTAGCCATTTTAGAGTTTTAAGCCAGCCATCTTGAAGTGGGTTGACTCCAACAATAAATTAGTTGTAGACTCACATCCAATTATTACTTTCTGAGAGTTGTTTTAATATATATTTTTAACATGACAAACAAATGAACACACACATACATACTGTACCAGAGCAAAAGCATTATTACCCTTCTTCTTTTAGAAATGAAAAGGAGGTTTGTAGTCTTGTTCAAAGTGTTTTTGGTCCTTTAAATATTGTTTTAGTTTGGGTTACACAAACACCAGCACTTTATGACACAAGAGTAATTGCTTTTCTGACCCAGTGGAGCCAACTTCCTGGTCAGAGTGCATTCAGTGCACTTAAAAAAAAACAGCGAACTTCACAAATGCCTTTGCAGCAACAAACACGACCGTAAGTTGAACTTATTTCTCCACCAGAAACATGATAGAGCTGTCTAAGGGATGAAACCAGTCCGGAGAAACTAAGAACAAATAATGGTTTACTCTGGATTTGCCTCATTCCTATCACTTGCTGCTGAAATGTGAGAGCAATAACATTTTTCCATGTCTTTGTGTGCTTGTTAACAAAATATTCTTCAAACCACTGCACAAATTTTATTAAAACATGCAGAAAGTACTTATTTTGTGTATGTCTACGTTATTTTGTGTATATCTACAACTAATTGCTGAGAGCTAATGCATAAAACAAGTGGTACACATTATGCAAGCATTTTGCTCAAAACCTTAGAGTGTCAAATTTTGGGGTTAATCCTGTTTGTTAGCAAAATGTCTCAAGGTCGATTCAACTGAGACTTTCATTATTCATAATAATTACAGTCTATTTTTTTCTGATTGAAAGTCTAATTAAAAATAAATTAGTATTTAAATAAAAAAACAAAGAATCTATCATTTTTTATGATTTCAAATTCAAATAATTCCTGTATATTATCACTAAAGTATGTTATTTCTCATTGAAGTAATAACGGGCCAGACTGATGTCACTCGAGGGCCAGAAATGGCCTGTGGGCCTTCAGTTGAATAGTCCTGACAACAATATTACATGAGATTGAGTATTTTGTTGTTTTCAAAGCTGGACCAAAGTGTTAACAACTTCGTCACCTTTTAACATAAGATGATATGTAGTTTCAAACTCTTGTATCAACAGGCGACATGCAGTTCTTCAAGGAAATTTTGGGTTACAACAAAAGAAGAGTGGCACCCTGTGGGAGAGATTAAAGCCAAGGGAATGGGTTTTGCAATCAGATTACTCCATTGACAAAAACACTTGAAAAAGTTATATTTACAGGCTGAGTAGGGTGAAACAGAGCTTTCAGTCTTGTGTCCTTGGGGTATAGCTGTAGAGCTGTTTAGATGGGAGCTGTCATCGGTTTTCACAAAGCAGTGAACTAGAAGACAAGAAAAAAGAGGCCAGGACAAAGACTGCAGACCGACAGTCCAGCACATAAACAACATAAACAGATTCAAACACCTGAAGGCTGTCTTTTTTTCATATTTATTGATAAAAATGGCACGTTTTCTGTGAGTATTTGATTTGAAGAGGGGAACCAACAAAGTGATTTGTAGGTCCTCGAAACGTGTGGAAGCCACTGGTGGGCCGACATAAAATATGATGTGGAAGCCTAGAGCCT